AGGGAGAGGGGAAGGGTGAGTACTGCTGAATGCCTGTCCACCACAGATAGTGGATGTCAATCTGACTAGTGAGGGGAAAGTAAAGTTGGAGGCAGGCATGGAGTTACCTTTCTCCTATCAGGTACAACTCGCCTCTCCTGTCTATGTAGCAATAATTCTGGTCTGCAGGTGACGTGGAGAGCATCAAACATTCAGTTCACCCACAGGTTTGAGAAGTATCTGGACCCTAACTTCTTCCAGCATAGAGTCAGTGGCAGCAAATGTTCTTTACCCATCCATCCAACAATACACCTCCTTGTTTTGGCTCAGATTCACTGGTTCTCCATCTTCAACTCCTTCATGATGGTCATCTTCCTGGTGGGTCTGGTGAGTATGATTCTCATGAGGACTCTGAGGAAGGACTACGCCAGGTACAGCAAGGAGGACGAGCTGGATGATCTGGTAAGAGAACCTCTCTCTCTCCCCACACACACACTCTCTCTGTCACTGACCTGCTGACTGTGGCTCGCAGGAGAGAGATCTGGGAGACGAATATGGCTGGAAGCAGGTCCATGGAGAAGTCTTAGAGCTCCGGTGTACACCATCTTCTTCACCAGTATGGTCGGCACTGGGCACCAGTTGGCCACTGTGGCTCTCGGCTGCATCCTGATTGCTCTGGTGGAGCACCTCTACACTGAGTGAGATACTGTACACCTCAGATTACATAATCTCATCCCTCCCCCACCTTAGACGAGGCACCTTGCTGAGCACTGCCATTTTCATGTATGCTGCAACTTCTCCCATCAACGGCTATTTTGGAGGAGCTCTCTACTCTAAAATGGGAGGTACAGTATGCTAATCTACCCAGTGTTAGCTGGGATCTGCCATGCAGGGAAGGCATGGATCAAGCAGATGGTGTGTGGAGCAGCCCTTTTCCCAGCTCTCATCTGTGGGACAGCCTTCCTCATCAACTTCGTCGCCATTTACTACCACGCCTCCCGCGCCATCCCCATCCTTACCATGGTAACCCTGCCCCTATCTAGCGAGCCTCATGATTGGCTGTGTTCCTGCAGCTTGCGGTGGCTGGGATCTGTCTATTTGTCATTCTCCCTCTCAACCTCGTCGGAACCATTCTGGGCCGCAACATTTCAGGCACACCTGACAACCCCTGCAGAGTCAATACAGTCCCCAGACCTATTCCTGAGAAGAAATGGTACTCCCAATGATCAGTGCCGTGTTCATAGTTATTGACAGAAGTTATTCTCCCCCTTTGTGCCAGGTTCATGGAGCCATGGGCTATCGTGATGTTGGGAGGTGTTCTGCCATTTGGATCCATCTTCATAGAAGTGTGAGTAGTGTACTGAGGTAAGGGACCATCACTCTCTGCTCTCTGCCACAGGTACTTCATCTTCACTTCGTTCTGGCAGTACAAGATCTACTATGTGTTTGGGTTCATGTTACTGGTGTATATCATCATGCTAGTGGTCACTGTCTGTGTCACTATAGTCTGTACCTACTTTCTGCTCAACTCTGAGGACTACCGCTGGTATGTGGCCCCCTACACCAACTATATTATTATGGTCCCCATGACTGTCTCCACAGGCAGTGGACCAGTTTCTGTGCTGGAGGCTCTATTTCAGTATATGTCTATCTCTATTCTCTCTACTACTTCATCTTCAAGACAAAGTCAGTCAACACTCACTCCATCATGGCTAGCTCAATTCCCTCTGCCTGTACAGGATGTTTGGTCTCTTTCAGACTGTGTTTTACTTCAGCTACATGGCTCTCGGGAGCATAGCTCTGGGCCTGCTGTGTGGTAAGTCTCACCCCTCACTCCACACTCAGTCTGTACTGTACTCTCACCACCACAGGCACATTGGGCTACGTTGGAACAAGGTTCTTTGTGCGAAAGATTTACGCCACTGTCAAGATTGACTGAATTTCTTGAACCCTTACCAAAAATAGGGAAATGAGCATTTTGTGCATGTATGTATTATACCCTCTGTCAGGAAATTTCTCTCCCCAAATGTTGCTGTATACCTACTGCTGTCACCATAATTATGAAACTATTTTTGTAGTGTGTATGAACTGTTAATTGTGCACATGTCCCCATCATGACTAAATTGATAATGGACTTGCTTGCTGCCAATGAGATAAGATTCTGCATTATCCACTTTCCATTGGTTTAGGGCCTTGTTGACTACACAACGTACACCTGTTCTAACGTCATGACCCTCCTCTGAACATGGTTATAGGGGTCTAAAGTGGGTGTTGCTTCACAAGTATAATCTTATTGTGATACACATAGCTACAGAAATTGCCTAGTTATGTGGGCAGGATTGTTCCAAACTGATATTCCTGGTATATAACCTGCGTTTACTGCCCAAACTCTACGTTAGCTCGCTACCGCATGGATATGGCAAAGTTTAGATCAACAGCAAATGCCAGACAAGGTCAATTCATGGTCGACACTCCGTGTCCACAGAGACTGAATTCAGCTCAAGATTTCCCAGAACTGTGCAGCCAGACATACAGTGGTGAGCCAGTACTAAAACAGTGCACTGTAACTGTTTACTCTTGTATAATTAGAGAGGATCAGTGAAATTGCTGTACTGATGAAGACTTTGCAAGAAAACCAGGCCCTGCAGAAGGAGTTTGTTTCTGTCCTCAGGCAATCACACAGAGACCTAATGGGACTCAGCAATGAGGTGCTCCTTTAACCCTTGGCGCACATGCGCAGCGAGGGTTACGTTATGACGTGAAAACCAAGTGCCACTTAGCACAGCCTCGATCTGATCCGCTTGCTCTGCGTACCTTGAAGGCACCAGAAGTTGCAAAGCAGGGTCTCTCTCTCTCGAGCTAGCTGGCAAAAGACAATCCATTAAAAAATTGCCCAGCCTACCAAGTAGGCTTATAAAATAATGAACCTTCTTCACTCAAGTATTAGTGTAATAATGGGTATTGATAATAAGAGGAACGTTTTTTCATCAGCTCTCGTGGCCAGCCCGAGTGGCTAGGTGGTTAGAGTTGTGGGGACTGACACCATAGGTGCCTGGTTCGAATCGATCCCGCACTAAAGTGTCAGGTGGTCCAGAGCATTGGCTGGGAACAGCTCTGGTTCCTCCACAAGAAGTCACAACGATCCAGGACGTGTATCGACTCTCGCATGATATCTACTACTGTAGCTAGCCCGTGTCAGACTCTCCGCGAGCTACTAGCGGGATACCACGAGCAAACGCATAAAAAATAGCCCAGTCCATCAATTAGCAGTATACGCAGTTCGCCGAGGGTTAGCACTGCACTAGTGCTTTTCATTTACCATTCAAGTAATGGTGGTGGTGTTCTGATGGATAAGCACCCCCTCTCTTGATCGTGAGGTCCCTGGTTCGAATCCCGGGTGTGTACGCCTTTTTTACAATGATGTAATAGGAGTGTTGGTATATATGGAACGTTTTTTCATTACCTCTCCAGGCCAGCCCGAGTGGCTAGGTGGTTAGAGTCGTGGGGACTGACACCATAGGTGCGGGTTCGTATCCTCATCCGCACTAAAATGTCAGATGGTCCAGAGCATTGGCTGGGAACAGCTCTGGTACCTCCCCTTACCCACAAATCTACCACTGACCCATGTTTCTCAAAGGGCAGCGTACAGTTCGGCATAGCACTGCGTCCGTAGACGTCTGTCTGGAGAGATGAAGGGCTGGCCGTTTTTTTTCAACCTTGGGTTTTAAATTTTTTTTTGCACTAAACAATCCACGGGTAATACGAAAATTAATAGAGAGATGAAAGGTTGGCCATTTTTCACCTTATATATTTTTTGAGCCTCAAACAGATATAGGGCTGGCCATTTTTTCAACCGATTGATATAATCCATGGAAATGGTGCATAACATGCTGTTCTTTTGATGCATGGTCAAGACCATCAATTGTGGTGGTGCCACACTTGTGTATGGGTTCCACATTTCTATAGAGTGTGCGGAGGGTTTGCACTTTAGTGCTTTTCATCTTTTTCAGTATCGTTATAATACTTTTGTTAGGCATAGCACTGTGCGTCCATAGACTCTCTGGAGAGATGGAGGGCTGGCCCAAATTTTTTCAACCATAAAATAATTTTTTTCGCCGCCCAGTATTTTGGCCTATGTAAGAAGCCTCTCAACAAAACCCTTTCGAATTGTCCATTGCCATTAGTGATCACTGCACTAACTATATTATGCACTCGCATAATGTGCAGCTTCATGCAGTACAGCAGAAGTTGGAGAGTGGGTGTGAAGACATCAGGGAAAGTGACAGCTTCTTTCCAGAGTTACTGGCACGTTTCTCCTCACAGTCAGTGCGTGATGAGGTCCAGGCACTCATTACTGCTACTGAGTCATTCAGAGGTGATCCGTTCCTGAGCTTAATTCCAAACGAGTGTTCTTATTCCATTCCATAGAGCTGTTGCCTACTACTGTTGACTGCATTGTGAGTTTATCAGATGAAGATATAAGCAACCTGTTCGTCTTGGTGAGCATTCTTCCCCAATGCTGGGGCAATGACCATCGCATTACCTCTCTCCACTCAGTTCAGGCAAATCCCAATGCCATCTTCTGCCCACACTTTCTCCAAACCTGCACCGTCTGAGACTGATTCAGTCTACTGCCGACTGTTGTCAAGGATAGGATTCACTAATTGGAGGGGCCACCTCATGTACGAGGTGCAGACAGGATTCTGTGGACTGGACATAATCACACTCACCATTGTTGCCATTCTGTCTGTCAGTACTTCCAGTCACCACAACCACTGATCATCAGTTTATCTTGATCTTTGCGCATTCACACACAATTCGCAATGTAATATCCTCTTCAAACTGGCCATGCTTTGCATTCATCAAATTCGAAAACAGAGTATTTGTGTGCCAATATTGACAGAAACATAACACTTATATATACAAAGGCACAGTACATATTGTGTAGTCAGTTCAACAAGAAGAGAGAGTGGGATAAAAAGCATTTTCAGTCACACAAGAGGGAGACATGCATGTGTTAGGTTCCATAGTGGGAGAGGTCTACAGCGCTGAAGGAAGGGATGCTGCCTAGCGCCGGTCGCTTGGAACGGGAAGTGCGGAGAGAGGCTACAGGAGTTAGTCTGTGGATGGAGTGGATTGGAGTGTAGGAGAGGTTGGGGACGGAGCAGGAGGTGGAGGAATTGGGGGAGCCCTGGAGAAGGAGACAGAGATGGAGTTCAGGTGAGCCAGCTGAAGAGAGCCCTACAGTATATACCATAGATATGGAGATGGCATCAGGCGAAGATGGTGGCTCGTTTTCTTCTCCTATGCCTTGCAGGTTCATGTGTACACTGAGAGAGGAGGGGGTAGCTGCAGATACTGTGGTTCACCAGATGTCTCTCACCTCAGAGAGGCCAGGGATTTCCTACTACGACTGGAGAATGCTCTCTTCACCTTCTTCCTGACACCACTGCAGGTATAGACAGAGAACGTTGGGTGGTGGTGGTGGTAAGGTCAGACCGTACTGCAGAGCTCTGTGAATGGTAGTGGAGTTGGCTGATCTGCTGAGGGAATGAATGACGTCAGCAGAACAGGACACTACAAACTGATCCTGCACTCAAGGAGAGAGAGAGGTGTGAGGCAGAGTGGAGGTGGAAACACACAGTTCTCACAGGGTCAGTAGAGAAATGGGCATCAGCCATGAGCTTGGCAAGATGTCTGACTGTCTCAGACTTGGAAGAGTCTTCGTTCTCTGGGCCAAACACCAGGAGTTTCTCCTGAGGATCCTCTGGCCACTGCACCAGCAGTCCGAACCCTCCACTCACATCTGTTGACAGGAGAGAGAGAGAGAGGGGGGAACGTGGGAGGGAGGTGCTGGTCACTATAAGCAAACCTTCAGTGTCCTCAAAGTTGATGATAGATCTGATGTAGGTGTAGGGAAGGAACTCCAGATGTTTGAATGGTTTTGTGGCTGTCTTCATTCCAAACCCAGACGGTCTCCGTCTGGCAATCTAGGAATGGGATTACAGGGTTCTCCCCACATCAGCCGAGCTCCAGAGAGACTGTAGTGTACCTCCATACTGTCGGAGAAGATGTACAGAGCCAGAGGATCTCCTCTGCTGTGACCTCTGCTGATGTCCAGCAGGTCCAGTCTCCTGAGGAACTGCCGGTGTGAAGACAACACCGTTGCCTGCACCAAGACACACAATTCTACCCACTGACTGATGGCACAAACACAATATTACAGGAAGAACTAACTGACAGACTGACAAACAACAAGAGGAAGGTGGGTACCAGTCGACTCACAGGGCAGTCTTCAATGTCTCTGAGGACTTCAAACATCTGCATTTGACTCTCTGTCTTTCTCTTGTCCTCATTGATATGTCTGTACCCATTGCCACTTGTCAGCACCAGACACCAGCGACACAAGACAACTTACGTCATCACGTTCTTGAGGCTGTCCACTGCCTGCTGTAGAGTGGAGTGGTCGTTGTGGTGAGGGTCTGTGTGTTTCAGTAGGTCTGAGGGGGAAAATGGTTTAAAGAAGGGAGAAAGGTTCAAGTTCCACTGTATGTCCTCCTTTACCTTGCAGCAGGAGTATAATTCTGGGTATTCTCTGGACTGGAGTGATGAGCAATTCTGACAGTTTCTGACGACTACACTCACTTCGTGACTCACTGACCTAGACACCAGGAGATACTACCACTGAGCCAGTGAAGGGTATATATACCTACCTTTAGGAAGGCATGAAACCTTGGGTAGACCCTCTCACAGCGGGCCAGAGCCTCTTTACTCATCTCAAAGAAATTGACAAATGGAGGATACACTCTCAGGAGCTCATCCGACTGCACAGAGGAAGGTAGAGGCTATTGAGTTTTAAAGTTCAAAACACCATGCTCAGATATGCTAAAGAGTATGGGTTATTGTCCAAAAGAAGGTAGACTACAGAGTAGAGACTATACTGACCTGTAGGAGGAGTACAGCTCCAATGGAAGTGCTCTCCTCCCAGTGAGCCATCAGCTCTTCCAGTCCTCTCTACACCACCCCAGTAGAGACACATCACACCACACACACTAGACAATAGTACATTTGTGTCCTCACCACTATGTTCTGGTGGACGGTCAGGATCTCTGGGATGTTGCCAAAGATGCTCTTACTGTCTTCTGCACTAAGTATGGCTCCTCCTCTCTGCTGAGGTCTTTCCACCGGCTCCTTGAACACCTGATCACACAGTGTCACTCAGACTGACACCACTGACACCATTGATACACACCTTGACAATCAGTGAGAGAATGTTGACAAAGTTTTTCTCCGTCTGCAGAAGTTCGGCTGCGATGTGGTAACGAGCTGTGTTTGGTGGGCCCGCCCCTTTGGTAGGTGTGGAGGTTGAAGAACACGCCAACTTCCTAGCCTCCCTCTTACCCAGTCCTTCTGTTAGTGAGAGAGATGTAAGATGGAGCGTGATTGATGAAGGGACTCACTCATTCCAGGGGAGGCCAGGGAGTAGAGAGAAGCCTCCAGGAAGCTGATGTCAATACTGGTGTGGAGAGATGAGTTGAACGATGCTTTTTGTCTGGAGTGACGGCTGTGAGCAGATTCCTGCAACACAGAGCAGTGGAAGAAAGGAAAGAGAGTGGCATATTAGCTGGAGGTGGTGGGGTGAACTTGCCTTGGCCTGGTAGAGAGCTTCGTCAGCGCAGGCCTCTATCTGGATGCTCTCCCAGAACCACTGCTGTTTGACCACCAGCACTCTGGATGATGTCACTGGTATCTCTGATGGGTCCACAGTATCAGCCACTACCAGATGAGTGAGACCTGCGTCGCCCAGTTCCCCATTCATCCCACCTGTGAGCAGAATTGGGTGGTGAGAGAGGAGGTAAGGAAGGAGAGAGCTCCACCATTGTCAGTGGCAATGTCTCTCATGTGCCGAGCCTCATCGTCAGGGTAACCCTCCAGTGCTATGTGACAGCCTGCAAATGGTAGCTGCTTGTGCAACATCTAATGGAGGAGAGGGAAATGTGATACATATGATAACAATTGGCAGAAACTAATCACACCATGTCTGGAGAATGGGCGTTAATGTGGCTGGAGAGAGAACAGGAGAACATCATTCCAATCATCCAAAAATGTAAACTTCTCCTCACATGTTGTCTCTGTGAGCCCAGCATTCATTGACCCACTGCTCACTCATAATGGGAGTCCCTAGTCCCACTGCCACCTGCAGAACATTACTACCATCTACAGCTAGCTAGAGTGGGCGGAGTCTTGCCTTGTACTTTGACCCACTGACGGAGTGAGCGACGACGTGTGTGACTGAACTGGTCATGTCTTTCCTGATGCTGGCTCCCATCAGATGAGCCTTACTGCAAACACTGTGCTGTATTTTATACAAATGTGAGATAAACTACTATTTGGACACAGTACAGTTGTATATTATACCAGCATTTCTTTGTCCTTGAATCCAGTGAAACAAATGACAGTTCCCTCCATGGAACATGAGTAAGTAGGCCGCACACTTGGGGCGAGGGGCTTGTTTCTCAGTCGGCATGACAACACACAGGGCTGACCAACAACCCTGAGGGGAGAGCGACAACCCAGTGCTGATTTCAAGTCTCTATTCAGGGACTAACTCCACACCAATCAGTGTTTGCCAACTTGTTAGTGAACAGTCACATGGACTGCACACTGACCTCCATGCAACATATTCAGCAGTACATTCGTTATGTACGCAGACAAAAGCCACAAGTGTACCGGTCATTGTGCAGTGAAGACACACAACAGTCACACCAACCAATATACCTGAACTTTTTATCCACCAGTCTCTCATAGTCTGGTCCAGAGAACTGCTCACAGACAAACACAATACGACACTCGTCAGGCACATTGGCTGGGAGTTTGCGACCAGTCTCAGAGTAGCACACCTCCAGACCCATCTCCTATAGCCAACACACACACAACAGACTGTGAATAGCGCAGCAATAGTCCAGGGAAGGTCTCTTGTTTCTCAAGCCTATACACAAACACTGTAGGTAGATGGGCTGCACCAACAAAACTATCAACTGACTTCTGTTCCAATCGTACTGTACATAGTGTGTGTGTGTACCTCCAAGGCTGATGCTAGCTCGGGCTTCTCTTTCTTGCTCACGATACACGCGTAGCACTTCTCCCCTGAAGAGAGACCGTATGCCTGTCATTAGCTTCTCCAGCGAGCATGACACACCTCCTCTACTTGGTTCTGGAGGTTCTTCGTCTTTCTCAAAGATGACTGGTACGAGCTGGACACTCTTGGGTCGCAGCAGGAGTCCGCCAGTATCAGGTTCCGTCGACATGGACTCCATTTCATGAACTGACGGCTGGAAAGGCTCCCCCTGCGGTCCTTCAAGCGAGCGCCAAACAGCAAACTTCCGTTCACAGGTCAATTCAAGCACACGTTTTCAAATTCGCAATTCAAACTAATCGGCGGGTGTAGCGCATGCGCATTCATACTCGTGAGCAATTCCAACTAAAATGTAATGCATGAGGGGCTGCTGATCATTGCCACTTGAATTTGAAAGTGAAGCCATGTCCATGGCCAAAGGGACCTCCGTGTTGACCCCAGGGATTCTGGTTCTGAGCCTCATGGTCCAGAGGGTCCTCTCCATTGTCAAACTTCTCACGAAGCTCTGAAAGTCAGAAGATGAATGATAATATATGGCAGGTGTGAGTGTTGTCAGAAGTCACCTGGGTCAGTGAGGACCTCTTTAGCTGCTGCAATGTCATAGAACATCTTCTCAGCTTTAGCTCTGTCTTCTCCATCATAGGTATCGGGGTGCCACTGTTGGGCCAGCTTGCGGTAGGACTTGTTGATCTCTCCTTTGGAGGCCGTTCTGTGGGTGGAGTCTGCACCATCAACAGACAATCTCCTTCCTCTTCTCACCTTGAAACTCCTAGTATCTTGTAATAGTCTCTCTTCTGAGATTGTTTAAGTAATCTCTGAGCTCTCTCCAGACCTTCGTTAACCTACTTACAAACAGTCATGTGGATATTATAGATCCAGGAGGATCAATTCACCTTGTTGGGGTGGTCCTCGATGCTATTGGCTGTCTGGTAGTCTTTGACTGCCTCCTCATACATCTGGTGCCTGATGTAGAGCTCTGCCCTGTCACAGAGAGCATCAATTGACTCTGGTTCCACCTCCAGAACCTTCCCACACCACTCCTCCCCCTCCTTCAGGTTCTTCAGCTGTTGGTAGGAGACAAACTGAAACTGAAAATGAATAGTCCAAGCCATGAACTAACCTTTGAGTGGCAGTGGCAGAGGTTGACACTGCAATGCAATATCAGGGCCTCTGAGAGTTCATCTGTTGTCAGAATTGTCTCCAGTTTTGTCACTGCTCCGCTGTAACTGAGTCAGAGATGAGTGGTGATGATAGTGTATGTATTACATGGCGTCTCACTCTTGGTTTTGGATCATTTCACTTGCAGTTCTGAGCTGCTTATCCAACTTCTTCACTTTCTGTAAACCAAAGATAATACACTTGAACATGTACCTATGCATACCATTACCTTGTAGAAAGGGAAGCATACTTTATGGTCAGGATCCAGTCTTAGACACTCTCGTATTTCCCTACAGTGTACATACATCTACATCTATCTGAGAATGATGCAGTCTACCTGAGAGAGTCCTCAGCCTCCCCCATGTGATAGTAGAGCAGACTCATCCTGTGGAAGGCATCCGTATTATCGTGGACCAAGCGACTCATCATTCTGGAGTCAAAGAAAGACATCCGCTAAACACAAACGTTTTCTGGGATTCTAGAAAATATTGTCACCAGCGAGAGACTGGACAACTGACTTTATGTCACTGATGGCTGACTGAAGCATGCCAATAGCCTCATAACACTGAGCTCTCAGCTCCCTCAAATGGACGTCCCACGGGCAGAACTGTAGGGAAATGTAAGTTAACTCTCTGGACCGTGTGCAGTGAGTATATACACACCTCAATGGCCTCTCCCAGTCTCTCCACTGCTGATCTGTAGTCATGTTTGTTGATCAGAGCCTCTGCCATCTCCACACTGGTCTTGATATTAGGAATAGCTGCCAGCTGAGGAGAAAAAGAACATCAGTCATTGCTACTGAATAGAGGGTTAAATCTCACAGTAGTCTGAGCATCAACAGCCATACTGGAGGAGCCTGTTGCCTGGTAAATCAGTTTGATATTATGATTAAATTCACTAATCTGTTGAGGAGTTTCAACCGACCAGTTCTGTATAGTCAGCCACTGCATCATCTAGTTTGCCAATCTTCAGCAGAGTGCTGGCTCTCTCGACCCTGGCCTGTATAGCCAAGACACACATCTCTACCATTGGATAACAACAGGTCATATATACCTGGAGGAAGTCAGGTTTGAGGTAAATGGAGGAAGTGAGGTCTGGCAGAGCTTTCTTGGTCTGCCCCATTGCGAGGTACACTGCTGCTCGCTTGAAATAAGTCAGGTAGTTAGAGGGGTCACCATCTGTGGGGGGATGAAGAGGTGCCTCACCATTCAGTGAGGGTTGGGAATCAGACTAACCGACTGCAGCGGCATAGTGGTAGAGGGCATCAGAGAGCTGTCCTTCTTGCAGGAGTCTCTTTCCTTCAGCCAGGTGTTTCTCCACCTCACTCTGACCTCCCATCACAACTATATACAGACAGTCAGTGATATAACAAACCATCAATTATCAGTATCATTCTCTTACACACAAGGTCTATGTCCAGACTAAGGAAGACTGTAAGAACTGTCCTGATCCACCAGACCACATTACGAACGTCCATTCCTGCTGAGCCACGCCTCTCTCTTTATCGCGTGTCAACGAATGTTTTCTACGCCGGGAGACCAGGAATACAGCGGAATACTTGAAGCCCTCAGATTGAAAAACGGTCGAAACTTGGCCTTCTCGTGTTAGTATTGCTCTGTTCGGAGTTTTCATCAACGAACTATTCTCAAGAAAGACCGCATCCGCGACGGTGCGCTTTTATTAGAGCGGTCGAGCGTGGAGAGATCTGATTGGACGATGATGGCCGATTTCAAATGAAGGCGTGTGCTTCATAATACAAAGATGAGCAAGAAGCCAAGTGTCTCTTATAAGCTTAGCCCGAACGAAGAGGTAGTAACCCGTGCACGCCGTTGTGCAAAGATTTGCACATCTGTTCAATGTGCAGGCAGCTGTCCTTCGCTCCCAGCGGGAAGAACGACGCAAAGCTCGACTTGTTCAGGTCAGTTTCACTATAGCAACGACTGTTACGGTTAGGCTTTGGTGTAGGTTCGTGAGCAAGAGAAAGAGGCTGCAAGAAGAGCCAGGGATGCAGAGAGAGAAAAGAGGGAGAGAGAGAAGAGACTGCTCCAAGACAACATTCAGGTGTGTGGCCAGTCCTTTCAATATACTGTACCTCTCTCTTGCCTCCTACAGTCCCATCTGCAGGCCTCTCATGCTGCAGAACTGGCAGCGGTTGAGCAGAGGTATACCTCAGCCTCCAGACACATTGGACTAGGTCACCGACAGGCCCAGATAGTCCAGCAGGTAAACTAACTTTGGTGGCCGCACTCTGTTGTCTATATTACGTCTCCCACAGGAAGAGAGAAGACTTCATGAACTGAGGCTACTGTTGGCTGCCAAACAGAGGTACACACCTTTAGTGAGGCTGAGTTTCTCTGAGTACTATTCTGTTTGACTGGTAGAGAGAGGGCGAGGGACAGACATGCTGTGGCTTTGAAGGAGGAGTTGTCTCGGCAGCAGGAGAGGAGGGGGGAGAAGGGAAGACAGGTGGAGAGGTTGAGACTGACTAGAGAACAGGAGGGGAAGAGAGACAGAGAGAATGCCTCCCAATTCCCTACCCATCCGCCCATCATTATGGTCTGTGTATATCTTCTGGTCCACTCACTCTTCACTGTTTTGGTTGGTGCAGGATTTGGTTGCAGGGAAAGGTCGGAGGGTGAGACTTCAGGAAGTGGAGGGATACTCGTCCTCATACTACCACCTCCCGTCCTGCATTGTGCAGAGAGCTGCCTCCTTGGAGAAACTGGGGGTCAGTATTATTATAGCTTACCCTTTTTCATAGTCACTTCGCAATACCACCTCCAACACTGTACATTAAAAGTCGGTATGATGAGGTTGGATAGACACTCACACGTTTCTGTATGTATGTATGCTGTTGTTTTCCATGCAGCCTGATGCCCAGCAGATGGCAGAATTGATGAGTGAAGAGATGCAGACTCTGGACAAGGTAATCACTGGGTGATGAGTATGATTTGACGGTGTGTGTGTGTGTGTGTGTGTAGCAATACTCTGCAGTTCATGAGGAACAGAAGGAGCTGGCCAGACTCAGATACATGCATGCTCTCAATAAAGTCAAGATGGAGAAGGTTAGCTGCTTTCACTGACCACTCTATCTCGGTCGGTCTATTGTGGTGCATCAGGAAAGGAAGACACTAATGGACCAGTTGAAGGTGTTAGAGAGGGAGGACAGAGCTCTCAGACAGAAAGCCATTTCCACCATTCCAGTGAGTGACATACGGAATAGTTGGCTTTAGGGCAACTCCACTCACTGTGCCTCTGCAGAACAATATGTACCAGCCACTAGAGCAGAGGATGGCCGTTGCTAGGGAGCAACAGAGGGATATGGAGCAAGCGTTCGAGAGGCTGTTTGTTTCAACTCATGGTCAGTTAAAATATTATGTTCTACATGTACCTGTATCATTTCCCACTCCATTTCAGGGGTAAGCACTCGCCCACATCTGCTCCATATTGCACACCCCTCCCCACCTGTCCCCACCTCCACACATCACGAGGAGACACCCACCAGTCAAACAACTGCTGATGATTCAATTCTAGAACATTCGACAGCAATCGTTAGCTGTGAAACCCCTGATTCACAGACCAGTGGAACGGTTCACGTGTCTATTCCGACTGCCCTACCCTTGGAAAATGACTCCAGCCACACTTCAGAGCTATCTTTCTCTGAACTGAAGTTGTCTGTTTCTGAACTAACTCTTTCTGAAGTTTCCCCACAGCCACCTCCAATACATCTCAAACCGTCTGAAGCATTCACTGCACATCCAGAGTCACTTTCAACGCAGCCAGAGGCACTTTCAACAGAGCAAGAACCAACTTTTACACAGACAAACACACCAATGCCAAGAGAGCCAGATCTTGGACCAATATCAAGAGATCCAGAGCTTATTTCTACCGACTCAGCCAGGCCAGATCTCGCCAGGACAAAGCGTGGTAATGTGCCCACGACATCAGGGGCGAGGCGACTGGTGAAAATGGTGCAGACCCAGCAGCAGGCCTGGACACAGAGACTGGCTGAGAGGAAGAATCCCGTTGAAGACGTCCAGACAAAACCACTGACTCTCCACCCATCTCCTCCTCCTCTCTGTGATCTGTCTTCTCACTCTCTCACTCCTGCACCTGGACCACTTACTCCAGCCACACCTGGGAAGACACCCAACAGGGCAGCAGCCGGTCTGACACTCGCAGTGGTCAGTTGTGCAAGTCCTGGCCCCTCTCCTCCCTCGACCACTGATATTCCTGTCTCCCAGCCACCATTTCTCCCCCCATCAGGGCCTCACGTAACTCCTGCCCCTCTCCCTCGTCCAGATCTCTCTCTACTCACTGCAGACAGTGACTTTGTACCACAGGACAGCACCACCAGCCAATGATCCAGCTCTCAGCCTGGACACAACTCCAACTCTCCGCCTCCCAACTGATGTCAGGAGTGAGTCAGAAGAACCTCCACTTGTTGCAACAACCACCTCACATAAGCTGGTTCTGGCCCCTCCTCTCTCTCCATCTTCTCTACAAACTGCTCCCTCTTTCTCCCTCCCCTCCACATCCACTGCCAGTTTACAGGACAGCACCACCAGTCTCAACAATGATCCAGCTCTCAGCCTGGACACAACTCCAACTCTCCGCCTCCCAACTGATGTCAGGAGTGAGTCAGAAGAACCTCCACTTGTTGCAACAACCACCTCACATAAGCTGGTTCTGGCCCCTCCTCTCTCTCCATCTTCTCTACAAACTGCTCCCTCTTTCTCCCTCCCCTCCACATCCACTGCCAGTTTACAGGAGGCCTTCTTGAGACGAAAGATGAATTTTGTCAAAGAGTCTCAGAGAAGGTTGGATGAGCTGAAGAGCAACGCTAGAGAGAGACAGGCCCAGTCTTCCCTCAAACTGTGCAGCCAGCGTTCCTCTCCCTCCCGCCACTCTCCCAGACCTCCAAGCAGCAGTGGTGTTGGGAAGGAGAACATGAGACGAGTTGTAACATTCTGTAGTCCAGTGCTCTGCTCTTCACACACTCCAAACCTCTTCAGCCCTCCTCCAGGTATATATGTACATGTAGCGAGAACACTTAGACCAGTGTGGGTCATGACTTAGACCTAATGTATTATTTATCTATAGGTAATCCCTTCACCCAACCTCTCCTGTTGCATAAAGCATTACACTTTTGTCTGCAGTCCCAGTCAAAGGCAAAGCTACTCCACCACATCTCTCTCAAAGGAGGCGGAAAATCAGTTCAAGAGAGATGAAAGAGAGAAATGTAAGATTTTACAGTCGACTGCCTGAAGTCCATCAGAAGAAATTAGAGGAGAAAAGATCAGCAGCATACGAGTCAAATAGACAGAAAGCAAAAGCCTACCAGCAGGTTTGTTGGGTAATCAACAAAATGGTTTAATTAATAGAGTCCTTTTTACAGCAGCAAGTGAGGGCCAAGTTGCAGAAGAAAACTATAAAAATTGACAAAACTCTCAAAAGACCTCCTTTCAAGTGAATTTACTAAGTGACATTATAACAACCCGCGACAGCGCATGCGCAATGAACATATGCGCAGTGGGGGTGACAACATAACAACAACCTGTGCATGCGCAATGACCATGCACAGTGAAGCAGTGAGAAAAATGTGTGGAAGTTTAGAGTGTAGAGCAATGATGCACAAACGCATAATATTATTGAAACATGAAAATGTGCAGAAAAACACAAACCAGTGAGTTCATGCATGTACGTATTTTTTTCTGCGCATGTGCACATTTTTTGTGTTTGCTTTTATCACTGCTCCATGAACTTTCTGCACAGTGGCAAATCAAGTATTATACACATTAATTTCGTGTTTGCAACGTTTCTCTCACTGCTCTACGTTTTTGCTCCGAATTGGCGCATTAAAATTTTTCTGCACATTTGCACTCATTATCCTCACTGCTCTCTGCTTTTTCTGCGCATTTACATAACCCGCAATGCGGGTACTGAGAGGACGATTTCCAGTCCAGCGTTGCTCCAAACACTAGTCACTGGTGCAACCAGTTTTTAAGTGAACAATAACGAAAGTCTATGAAGGTGCACAATAATAATATTAGTGCAGTGCTAAGCTGGATCAGGTACAAATTCAGGTAGTGATGTGTCATTTTTGTTGCCTACTAAAGTTTCTTCATGGATTCTATCAACACCGTCTGTTAAAGAACCTCCATGCTTAACTGTGGTAGTCCCCTGTTCATTAGACGGAGGAATTGGTTGTGGGTGCTGCTCTGTAGTAGGAGGGTCATTGTTGGGAACTGAGTCACTCGGAGGACACTGTGTGCTAGTGTTAGAGTGAGGCTGCTGTGTGTGGGGCACAGGATGTCTCTCTATTCCATGTATCTCCGCCTCTTCTGCAGGCATGCCGGCATCAGGGTCTCCACCTGGTGGAATTACTTCTTCAACATGTTCCTCAGGAGGCTCCTACAGTATATACACCACACTCAGGTTTAGCGCAAGCCTTGTTATTATAATAATATAATACCTCCATAGGAAAAAGCTCTTTTGCTCTCTTTAGAGTAAGTTTAGCACTGTTAGACCTCTCCAAGTAGTACCTGCCAGGAGGACATTGGTTATGGGCACAATGAAAAGCACTAAAGTGCAAACCCTCGGCACACTCTATAGAAATGTGGAACCCATACACAAGTGTGGCACCACCACAATTGATGGTCTTGACCATGCATCAAGAACAGCATGTTATGCACCATTTCCATGGATTATTATCAATAGGTCGAAAAAAATGGCCAGCCCTATTTCTGTTTGAGGCCCAAAAAATATATAAGGTTGAAAATGCCCAACCTTTCATCTCTCTATTAATTTTCGTATTACCCGTGGATTGTTTAGTGAAAAAAAAATATTTAAAAACCCAAGGTTGAAAAAAAACGGCCAGCCCTTCATCTCTCCAGACAGACGTCTACGGACGCAGTGCTATGCCGAACTGTACGCTGCCCTTTGAGAAACATGGGTCAGTGGTAGATTTGTGGGTAAGGGGAGGTACCAGAGCTGTTCCCAGCCAATGCTCTGGACCATCTGACATTTTAGTGCGGGATCGAGGATACGAACCCCGCACCTATGGTGTCAGTCTCCACGACTCTAACCACCTAGCCACTCGGGCTGGCCTGGAGAGGTGATGAAAAAACGTTCCATATAAACCAACACTTCTATTACATCATTGTAAAAAAGGCGTACACACCGGGAACGAACCAGGGACAGCACTAGTGCAGTGCTAACCCTCGGCGAACTGTGTATGCGCGATACTGCTAATTGATGGACTGGGCTATTTTTTATGCGTTTGCTCGTGGTATCCCGCTAGTAGTTCGCGGAGAGTCTGACACGGGCTAGCTACAGTAGTAGATAGCATGCGGGAGTCGATAAACGCCCTTCGTTGTGACTTCTTGTGCCTCCAAGGTACACAGAGCAAGCGGACCCGGTCAGAGGTAATTTGCATATTGGCTTGTTCACTTGGTTTTCATGCCATAACTTCTGAACGCGGCACTTTTACGGCATTTTAAAAATGAAGCGGGTGTAGCGCTGAACCCGTTGGTGTCGCTATTTTACCTGTTTGTCGCGCGTGGTGGCAGAAAACGTGGACGGACGGACAGACGGACGGACAGACTACAGTACAGACAGTACAGACGGACAGAACAAGTACTGTAACCCTCGCTGCGCATGCGCGCCGCCGAGGGTTAATGATGTTTGAAATTCTCACCCATTGGAGGCCTCATTGGACTGTGCTGGAGGAGACCAGCCAGTGTAGCTATATCCTGGAGTCACATACGGTCGCTGAAGTGTATGGGAAATGAGGATTGACACCAACACAATAACACAGGCTCACTCTCTCCATCTCAGTGTGTAGCCATCTGATGGCTGACTGCCAGTGAGTCTTGATGTAGAGATCCTCTGATATAACCTTGTACAGCAGAGGACACCTGCACAGAGAGGTGGTACAGATGTGGAGGGACTAATGGTGGCTACACCCTCACCTGCCACAGAGGGCTACTAGGAACTTGATGCACAGATAGGCTCTCTTGTGGAAGTGAGTCTGGCCATGTTGAATGATGGTGATTAGACCATCAGCATGGTGGGTGAACCCTGCAACACAGCATAAACCCTACTCCATTAGGGAACTAGTATTGTCCCACCTTTGAGGGCAGTGCTTATTCTGTGTCCTTGCCAAGTGTCTTGAAGCATTAGCAAGTGGGAGAGCAGGTCAAGGAATGGCCTCATATCAAATACTTGTACTGCTGCAATCTGCGTGCACAGATGTATAAATGCAGCCACAATCAACATGACATACCTCAAGTAGCAGATCATTGAGAACTATCATTGAGAACTGCCAATGCTCCCAGCACACAAACTGCAACAAAACCCAGAATGGGGTCATGTATTGTGTGGGAGTGCAGTAGTGGCACTTACACAGAGGAACTGTATGGTCTCGTCCATAGTGCTGTTATCTTCTATCATCTTCTTAGTGAACGTAATGTTTTGCTGAGTACTGAAGAATCCATAAGCATTAACTCCAGCTACCACCACTATTACAGGAAGACTTACTTTATTCTCTCATACAGCCAGTTGTGCAGGTCATTGGGAAGTGGATGTGAGAGCTCAGGATCAGCAAATTCATTAGGAAGTGGCTCCTGGCCCTATACAGATGGACACTTGGTACTAAAGTGTGTGTATCATTCTCTGGAAATCTTACCTCATACAATGATTTCTGCATCATGGTGACATCGCAGCTACGTACCAGTATTCCAACTACAGCGTAGAGTTTAGAGAGATCAGCATATGGAGACCGGAGGGGAGGGCCAGGGCCCTCGTCCAGGGCCACGGCAATGAACAGAGATGGCACACTGAGATGGAGGAGCTGCTTGCGCTGAGAGAGAGTGTATGTACGTACATGCACTGAAGGACACACAGTGACTTTAGCTAACCTCGGCCACTCCTCTGTTGGCGTAGTTGAGGAAGACCTGGAAATATTGGTTGAGATGTCGCGAGTTATCTGCCACTTGCTTCTTGAGCAGCTGCAGTAGACTGTTGAGGGCAATCTCACTGAACAGGTGGCGGGTTTTCTCTGGAGGAAACAAGAGTGAAGGATGTTGTCTAGATGCACTATAAAACTCACCTGTTCCAGCATTAGTAGTGACAGACACCTCAATGGGAGGATCTTTGTTGGTGGCTACACAGAGGAATGTGATCATTTTTGAGAACATGTTTCGCACCTGTGCAGAGAGAGGGGCAGTCAGTTCATGAGGGGAATGTCTCTGGCTTGCCTCAGCTGAAGGACACTCCAAAAGATACTCTGAAAATCTGTCTCTGTTCTTGAGGAAGACGTTATCAGCAAACCAGAGTCGGATGGTGGGGCCAAGTAGTAGGAATGGCTGGAGAGCATCGTACCATTCAGCAGCTGGTCCTCTGCTCATGTGAGAGGACAATGACCAAACCTAGCATTCCCAGAGAGACCAACTGTACCTGAGGGTCTTTTTAGTGTGTATGCCACAGTGGAACAGAAACGTAGTTGCAAGTTGAACACACTGAAGACCCAGTTTCTCCATTTCCAACTACAGGTAGGGAGAGAAGAAAAAACACTCACACATGTGGACAAGTGTGCCGACACCAACCGTCATGTGGGGGTTTCGCTCAAGAACAGCCTTGATGTGGTTCCCATTGAGAATCAAAAAGTTCTTCATGAATTGGAAGTAGGGGAAGCTATAGTGAGACTTGTGGTGAAGGAACTCCAGGTTCTGCTTATGTACAATCGACTTCATTGGTTTAGGGATGGCTGTAGGGCTTTGGAGAGCCTCTGTGCGGCGCACACGAGAGAGAGCGAGAGTTAGTGTGAGAGAGAGAGAGAGAGACATGTGAGGTGGAAGGGGAGAAAGAGCAACAATCACCATCAAAGACAGGGCACTGGTCAGCTCTGTCGTAGAAGAGAAGGTAGGCACTCCACCACCTCTTCTGTCTGCGGTAGTGTGTTCTAGGAGGAAGGCAACTCTCAACAGTCATTACATTGACCAATAACTACTGACTTCTTGAGCACATGGTCATACACCTCTCCAGTGTAGTCTCCTCCGAAACACTGGGCCTTAAACTCCTGAAGTCGATGCGATTCTCATACAACACACAAACTGCACAATACTTCACCTCTTCGTCGTCTATCTTTGCCTCCACAACTTCTCCGTCATCAAATCTGAACCATTTGGGAGAGCCTGAGCCTTGAGGTCTGCAGAGAGACACAACGCCGGTTTCACCACACCACACTAGACCACACCCCTCACCTGACTCTAATGAAGGAGTAGTAATGGCCTCCCGAGGCCTGTCCGCTGTGGACAACGATACCTCTGAGGTGGTAGTGGGTGGAGACTGGGGTCTCAGGTTTGTCTCCTGGAATCTTCTGCTCTGTCTCCTCAGGACTGGGGATCTCCTCCCCTAAGAAGAGAGATTCCTCAATGCCATCACTCCCCTAGCTCTCTTCACTGACCTTCAGTCTTTGCCAGAGTGGCTGCAGTGTAGGGAGACATGTCCAACTCTCGAGGAAACTCAAAATAATCATTGAACTTGACTGCAGTCTCTCTGAATGAAACAAGTCAGTGCATGGACACAGTGCCAAGTGTATGGACCCAGTCCTATACCTCTCCCAGTCATAGTCAAACCTCTTCAACTGAATGACCAAGACTTTGGGCAATCTGCTGATGCATAGTCTCTTCACAGTGTCCACCTGAAGAACAGGAAGCTGGAGCTGGGGTTGAGGAAAGAATCCGTGGCTCACTTTCTTGTCACACTTCTCGCAGTGGTAGGCATTGGCTCCCTCGAGAAGGTCTCCCTTAACAAAGGCATCCAGACTCTCAAACAAGTGCTGCTGGTTGCGTATGTCAATGTTGAGAGCTGTGAACGACTCCTCTCGGGAGTACCTGCACCAGCCAACGGGTCCTCCAAATACACCACACACTATCTCAGCTCACCTGTGGGGACAACCTCTGCAGATCTTCTGGTCAGCAAATGCTCCTCCAAGAACCTCCGAGAGCACAGGACTGTAGCTAAAGGTCTTGAGACCCTCATCGAGATTGTCCACCAGGCAGTTGAAGAATTCAAAAGCATCGTGTTGCTCACGCAGGTTGACTCTATCTCCCCACAGTCTGCCACAGTGACTTCAGTCATCAGCACACACACACAGGTCAGTGGTAGAGATGGTTACCTGAACTCTCTCCAGAAACCCTGTGGAGTATGGAACTGCAGCCTGCCCTCCAGGAGGTGGGAGAAGATGGACTGGAGCTGCATGAGCACCTTCTTCTGAGTGTCTTTGCGGTCGTCACTGGAGGAGCTGGGGACTGACTGGAGTGCTTGGCCCTCAGACTCATCCTCCACATCCTGCAACATAACGGCACCAGATGAATTGAGTGGGAGCACTGATTTCAGAGTCTCACATCAATGTTGTTGAGTCTCTCTCTCTGCTTCCTCTCCTTCTTCTCCCCCTCTCTCTCCTGCTCATCCAACACCACAAACTCCTTCGCTGCTTCTTCCACAGCCAGAATCCCAACGCGGATCGGAGGAATGGTGTACAGCTACAGACAGTGACTGGACTCATCCACACACACAATGGCTCTATACAGTGGTACCTGCTGCAGTACAGAGTTCATGTAGCATGTGGCACCTGCATTCTTGAGGCCCACAAACCCCTTGAGAGGTCTGGGGCCAATGTGTGGAATGAACTCCCACTCACAGAGAGGAGGGTCCTGACCTGGAGGTGTGTTGGCTACTCAACAACTCACATTTTTAACAGAGCAGCTCACCAGAGTAGAAATAGGACGAGAGGAGTTGGTGGAGGGTAGCAATGTTCTCGCTGCAGCCAGCGCAGAGGGCGTTGAGGAGTTTGAAAGCAGACTGGGTACATTCAGTGGTGGAGCAGATGGGCTGGGCAACATACTCACTCAGCTCCTGCTTCTCTGCAGTGGAAAAACAGCTACGTGTGCCCAGAAACACACACACAACCAACACACCTGAGTCAGGGTTCTCCCTGGCCTCCTTCACGAGTCTGGAGGCTGGAAACAGGAAGTCAGACATCACAATCTGTGGGATGTGGGGAGGGAGGGAAGATTGTGTGCAACATCCACTCTACACATTACCTCAATGAGTCTCTCTCCACCAGACTTGCTGCCAATGTGGTGTCTCTCGGCAACACTCCTGAAGGTGAGGAGCTCCACCAGCAGAGAAAGGTGGCCGTCCAACAGAGGTCCCTCCACAGGGCACTGGCGAGTGGGGCTGGCAAGTGTGTCCTCCTGCCAGTCAATACAACAATCAGCACTGGTCAATACGACACACAGTAACACTCACTCTGACTTTGAGTAGCCATTTCAGCTCCTCTTCCAGTAACTTGTCCAGCCCTGCAATCTGTACGCTGGCCTGGTGGGCGTGGTTCAGCAGCCTTCTCACCACACACAAACAAACAGGTAACTCTCTGACATTTCTTCCTAGAGCTACTGACCTTGCTAGAAGTCTGAAGAATTCACCAGAGGTTGGAGCATGATCCTTTGCTACCGACTGCAGAAGACATACATACAGAGCAGACGTTGCTACACATGTACACTGGTCACGTGCTAACCTCCACCCCAGAGAAGAGAAGAGAAATAAAACTGATAAAGCTGGAGGTGCTAAAACTGCACTTTGTAACTATGTAGAAGAGTTGGTCGGCAGCAGTTATCCTGATGAGCCTGCACAGAGAGGTAGATAGGTCCACACACACAGGCAGCAAGATCTGAGGAAATGGGACCTGTTTCTGATGAGCAGAAGAGTGTCAATGACAAAGTGTTTCCAGTCTTGAGATGTCTCGAGAGAGGTAAGGACATGAGGGGAGATGGCGAGACTCAGACTTAGGACCTCCAAAGAGTCCCTGGCCAGGTGCATGTCCTCTGTGTCCACACCGCGAGAGGAGGGAGAGGAAGAAAGCTGGGGAGAGAGAGAGAGAGAGAGGGACAGTGACTGGCAGCTAGTAAGAGAGGAGGTCCTTACCATGGTGAAGGCATTGTGAATAGAGGTGGGCTCGGAAGAGAGGGACACATCACCGCATGCAGCAGACCAGGCCAACAGTTGGATGCTCCGAACCACTGACACATCAGGTAGCGGGGATATCAGCTGCACACCACACGCAAGATAACCGACACAGTGATGAAAGAGATGAACAAACCTTCTCCCAATACTGCCTTGCCAGCATTGAGGCAGTGTGTCTCAATTTCTGCTCATTCACTGGAATGATGTTCTGCAGAGCAGTCTGCAGGACCATGGCTGCCTTGTGTCTCTCATCAGAAACCTTGGGTTGTGTGGTCTTCCGTAAAATGTGGAATTACAATGTATTCCAGGAGACCTGACCTGTTTGTTCTTCATATCCTGAACCACATGGACAATGCAGCCATAGGCCGACGCCATAAGCAACAGTTTCAGCATCTTCATGATTGTCATCATTGCAGATCTGCACAAAGTGGGCATTACTACATGCACTGTATCCTCCGCTGTACAAACAGACCGTTTCATGACATTGCCAGCATCTGCCAAGAGCGTCTTGTCAGTGAGGAATGACAGCAGAAGTTTTAGACCACCACACACCACAAAGTTGACCTGGAAATCAACACTCTCAGAGTCTCTGAAATCGACTGATGGCATTAGCATAGCATGTGATATCTGGAAGGAGGGAGAAAGAGAGGTGATCTCACACCTTCCCACACAAAGGTCCAGCTGACCTCCAACAGATAGAGAGTTCTACTGGGGCTGGGTGTGGGAGCCACAAAGTAGCTTCGCAGGGAGTTGAAGGCAGACACACTGTCTCTCTGGGAGCAGTCTCGACAGTGATCCAGCATCTCCCCCAGCATCCTGGTACCTGAAGATGGAGGGGATCAGAGGAGGTCTTCAGAGAGGACGAGAGCAGACCAGTTGGCAGGAGTTTGAGGAGGTTCCTGACTGAGTCCCTCAGCTGAGGGAAGCCTCTGAGAATGGCAAAGTCACACAGAGACAAGAAGAAATCAATGTTCTTCTGCTCTGTTGCTATCAGCTGGAGAGGGGAGAAGGAATAGATTGCTGGATAAGAAGCAGTGTGCCAGCTCACCACAGAAGGCAACATCTTCTCTGTCTCAATGTTGGGTCCCTCCATGTGGTTGAGAGGAGAGCCCTCACTGCTGTCAGTGCTGTTGTCCGAGGAGTTCATGCTAGTCTCACTGACATTGCTGAATAGTAGCTTGGCATTCAGGACCTGTGGAGAGAGAGCATCAGAACGCCTCTGACCCCACGACCCACTCTTACTGCTCGGTCTCTGAGAGGAACTGCTGACACAGTTCTGCGATCATCAGTGACTCTGAGGACCTCATTTCCCACGGAGAGCTCCAGCCGACTCTGGTAGGACAGCTTCAGTCTCTGGAGGATGTGTCTGCGGACAGCTGCAATGGTCTCGTTGGAGTGGGAGGCCAGTTCAAAGTCCTCAGCTGGCTGCTGGTGGTGGGAGGAGTACCGCACCACCAGAAGAAAGGCTCGGCCCCACGCCGCTCTAGAAGAGGAGAGTACTCTACCCTAGAGCAGCAACAAGAGGAACATTGCCTACTTTCCATGAGCAGGAATGCCTCTCTCATCCTGGTACTCCTCGTCACACTCTATGACATACTCTTTCAACAGTGACAAACACCTCACCAGCTTGGTTATCTGGGGAAATAAAGATTTGTACTTCAACCACTGGTTCCTGCCTACAACCATTGTGTATATACTTCAGTATTAAAGCCAAACTGTATGTCAGCAGGCTCGTTCTCAATCTGGCCAGGCTGAAACTGTTGGAGGTTATCATAGGCCACCTGAAGTCTCTGCATGCACGTCTGAATGAAGTCCAGGTGGATCTGGGAAGTAATACACTTGTATTATAGAGCCACACACACAATAGAAATATACATACCTGATCTTGCTGAAGCTTATTGCTGAGGTTGGTATAGACGTCCTTGAGCAGTTCAATTGGTTTGTAGACAATGGAGTCAGGAGCTAGCAGGACAGCCTTCCACAGGTAGTCCAGTCCCACCAGGTCAACATTCTCTGTGATGAAACCACGTCTCCAGGCAGACAGACGACGCTCGTTGATGTTCACCATTCGGAAGAAACGGTCAAAGCATCTGGAAAATGTCACATGTTTGGTGATGTACATGTCAAGAGATGACGAGGTCACCTAAATCCATTTTCAGTGAGGTGCTGAGGAGGCATTCGGTGGAGCTTCTCAGTAAAGATCTTCTTCACGGTATCAGGCTCAATGTCTGGCTCGTCTGACACCAGCTGCACACACCACACACCGACATGAAGAGTCAGCCCCTTGCACCACTCACCTTAGCAAACCATCTGAAACACGTGTCTCTGTCAGAAGCAAAGGCTGGGTTCTCTACCAGACTCTCCCATACCTACACAGAGCTCAGTGTTCACAGCCTACGACTGAATGCACTGCACCTACCATGAGTGCCTGCTGGTGGCCTAGCCACAGTTGCCCATCTTTCAGAGCAAACCTTATGACAGAGAGGACAGTCAACAAGAGCTGTAAAAGTGACGGAGTTCTACCTGACGAAATCTAGACGAGCCAGCAGCTGCTGTGTGTGACTAAACCTCTGGTCCACGTAGAGAGTTTCTGGCTCACAATTGTCATCCTCTGCGAGGGGTGCAGCTGACTCAGAGCCACTCAACCTGACAGGGCACAGACCTTTGCTGGCATCCCTGGCCTGCCTCATGTAGAGCTCCAGGTTCTGACAGATGTGGGAGAGGAGGTGGTAGTTGGTGTCCAGGTGAGAGATGATCTCATTCCTGTAGTAGAATTGATTCTGTCGGTGGTGACTGTGCACATAGTTCACTGGAGACTGGAAGAGGAAGAGGCTCGGTGTACATACCTTGAGTGACCAAAGGTTGTTTGCTAACCTCCAGATAGAGTAGGCAGATTTCCTTCATGTGCTTCAGAGCAGAGAAGACCCACTTCTCACTGGACAGATCCTCAACACAGCGCTGCAGCCAGTGCAGTTTCTGGCTCTCCCTTTCCTAACACAACAGATAATTACCAGGGTATACACAGGTAGTAGTGGAGAGGCCTAACCTGAGAGCAGGAGTAGTCCAGGATCTTGATGTGGGCACTGAGAGCATGGTCCATGGTATCGGGAGGGCAGTCATCTCTGTGGGCCAAGTTCCACAGCAGATCCAACACCTAACGTATATATAGGAGGCCGACAGTCTCTCTCCAAACATACACCAGTGATGGTGGAGACCTTGACTGCCATGACTCCCTCCTTGTCATCCTCTGCCAGGTGGCGGATGAACTCAAGCAGCTCCTCACACTGCTTCTTGCTGGCCCCTACCCAACTCCTCTGGAGACATAGTTTATTATGTACTAGTCACACACCACTGTATGTGCAACTGGCCCAGATCTCACCTGGAAACAGCCGAACAAGTGGTCCAACTGTTCAGGAGAGAAGTCCCACGCCAGCTTCACCAGAAGGTCATGGATGTTCTTGACAATAATCTCATGCTTGCCATCCTGACAGGCCCAGATCCGGTCCAGGTCCTGCAAACTCAGCACCTTCTCCTTGATGCAGAACCTGACCAGCTTGTCCAGTTTCTCCACATACTGTGGCTGGTGTAGATTGTCTCTCAGCACAATCTCCAGGACATTGTTCTCCCGCACCCAGTTCTGGAGGAACACGTAAACCACAGTCAGTCTCATCACTGGTGAACCTCTGGACTTACGGCCAGTTTCTCAGCCTGCATCTGGTCATCATCAGGAGGAGAAAAGTTGGGGTGGTAGGTCACAGTGGGAATGATCTTGTTGATCTGACGAGACACACATTCAGAGAGGGTTCAACAGTCTGCCATACACCATTACCTCATTGAGGGCATTCATCTTCCCATTGAAGGAAGCAATCTGCAGCAGCCTGAGGGAAAACACCAGCAGACATTCATTTCCATTCTGAGTTCAGATCTGGCAATACCTGAGGATCATTTTGAGTCTAAAAGATTCAATGTCTTCTCTGCCTTCCATTCTGCGACACAAGTGACGCAGGCTCTGCTCCAAATGGACAAAGTTAAGGAGAGAACAGCAGAGGGAAACAAACCTTCATTATTGAGGAAAAGGTTTCACTTCTAGCCTCAGAAGTTGCCTCTTTCTTGAGAGAATCGTTGCTCAGTCCATCGAGAAAACCAATGACCTTGTCCTAGATGCAAAAAGTAGTGATCACAGCCACACACCTACACCACATACATGTACATACCACAATGGGAATGAGGTATTTCTGGTACACTGACTCCAGCAGAAACTCAGCACAGTAGCCAAAGGGTCTGTGGTAGCTGGTGATAGATGTTGCACCACCATTAATACAGCTACACTGACCTGATCAAGGCAGCAATGAGAGGCACTGTAAGATTCTCTCCGTTCACTATGCGGTCGTGAAGGACCTGAAAGCCTCCCAAGTCTCCAAACAGATTGATCATGTCCAACAGCCAGCCCTGCAGTCAGCAGTACACGGAGCTCTCAATGACTCAATGGATCACTCACAAAAATCTTGGAGTGGCTGTGCGGCCTGCCCTCTTGAGGCATTGCAAACAGCTTCTCTGGGTCCTGGGGGGAGGAGGGGGGTTCAGGTGTGAAAGGTACAGGATCTCTACCAACCTTGCCACATGTTTCTGGTGGGACATTGGCATTGTAGCTGTGCCACCTATAAACCAAGCGGTGGTATGATTAGACAGAGACTTTTGACAGAGGGTCTTGCCTTGACTGAGGATTGAACACCAGAGCCAGCAGCTCCAGAAGAACAAACCAGTCCTTGTCAAGTTTTGCAACACACAGCTCGACCAGCAGAACTGTGTTATTGTAGATGTCCCTCTGTAGGAGAGATTGTGGTGAGCAAAATTTAGCCCAGCTCCAATCTACTGACACAGTTATGTACACATGCACAAGACACAGAGTAGTGGCATTATTGTAGAGAAAGAAAACTAACACCACTCTCCCAACAATCACGGGGTTCACCACCCTAGGTATTATCCTAGAACTTAATATGTACCTGTATGTCTGGTTTCCAGGTAGACACTGCATCGTCAGTGAGAATTCGAGTGAAAGACAAAGTCAGTCCCTCCCTAAAAAACCGCTGGCATGCCTCTACCTCTGTATCCCGACCTGGAGGAAACATGGACCAGACACATCTTCATACACTACTGAGCAAATTCCGGCAAACCTTCTCTGCAGAGCTTGATGGACGCTCGAAGCAGTCTCTCCAGATCATCGTCATGGCGAACAGGGACCACCCACTTGGGTCGGCCTAGCTGCTCATCGAGTCGAGCCAAATGGTCGAGAGGGAAATCCACCACTGCATCTCCACTCCGCACAACCTCACTGGACCCTTTCTCCACTATCACTTTGCTCCCACCTTCCACCTCCTGCCACACATAACATGCTCTGACCGAAACACACTTTTCCTTCACTTACTGTATTTCCCACTTCCTCATTTCCAGGGCTTGGTAAGTCAGTAGTTGTTTGACTATCTTCCTCCTCTTCCTTCCCTTTTTCTTCAACTCTCTGTACTACCTCAGACATTCTCCAAGTCAAACGCTAGCTTCTCTATTTAGAGCACTACAAAAGCAACGGAGGGGAGGCCCTGGCGTTCACTGAGGATTGGCTCACTTATTCAGACTCTAACGCTGTGCGGGCGTGGAGAATGGTTCCCCACAACGTGAGCTCCTCACCCGGCTGTACGTTGGGTCCCTGGGCTAGGGGGCGGATGCAGGGGGACAAGACTTCAGGCCGCGTAGGTTGAGCTCGATCCCGGGCCCGCCGGCAAACACACAGGGTTTTCCCCTTTCCAGTGATGTCGCTAGCGTATATAGTTCCCAGTAGCACAGTGACTAAGAGCGACCCGGTCTCTTCAAGTGCATTGATCTGAGCAGCCGATCGATATGCGCCATTGTTTATCGATATCACGTGCGCTCTGATTACGTAATGTTGACGCGCGCTTGCGTATTCATCGGAGTCACACCAATGGAGAGGGTAGCGAGTTATTTTTGTGGACAGCTAAGTGAACTGGGCTGGATCCAGACCTAGAAACTCCAATGCATTGCCTGCCATCAGTTGATCCTGCAGCAAAAAACACTGAAACGTTTGTTCCTTGTGTTTTAGTATTAGACGAACCTTCGTATCATCATCCATGTCGTCAATAGACTCAATCAACTTTCCAGGATGGTGCTCTCCTAATGGAAATGGGTAGTCACTTCCTAACATGACCCGCTTCTGCAGTGAAAGCAGCACATTGTCCAGCACTGTTACTTAGTTGAGAGAGCACACCTTTCCAATAACCTCCAGCAAGTACTTCAGAGCCTTTTCATCATGCACAAGTGAATCAGTCCAGATTTGACCAATGTAATTCCTGCACGAGTACTATGAGTGATACAAGGGGTACAACCACTCTCAACTGCAAACCTTGGACTGGTAGCGTTCTCCACAGCACAAAGGTCAGGTCTCACTGCATGTCCATGAGCAATCCTGCCCAGAGTGTAGGGGAAAGCCCCTCCTCCATGAGCGAAGCAGACTTTTAGTTTAGGGAACCTCTCCAGAACACCTCCCATGGTCATGCAGCAGACAGCGGTTGCCGTCTCACTGGGCATACCTGGACACACCTCACATGAAACCATCTAGCAAAGTGATGGTACTCACCAACAAGCCAAGGCATCCAATACTTCTTCATGCGAGGGCTCTGGTCCATGTCCCACGGGTGGACAAACACTGCAGCCCCCAGTTCCTCTGCTGCAGCAAACACACACTGTAGCTCTGGGGCATCAAGGTCCCATACTTCAGCAGGCTCTGGCTGCGGAAGGTCCCAGTTCCAGCGATTGATGTGAGAGCCAATCTCTACTCCTGGGAGACCTAGCTCCTGCACCAACATCCTCACCACTGGAGAAACACTGCCATGTAATGTACACATACCTGCACACATCGCCTCAGCTCCTGCACAGCAAGGTCTGGGGACTATACAGGGTAAGGATTGACAATAGGAATATGAACAAAGGATATCAACAGTCAGACCTGCATGGGTAATGTTCCAAGGCCAGCAAATCTGGTTGGATACTTGGCCACAGACTTGGCAATATCATCGTTGATGTATCTACAGAGGTAATGGGTGTCCTCCCCTCTGGCCTGCAACCGAAACACACTCCTTACTACAGCAGTTTCTAGAGCAGGTCCAGGACGTTACCCAGTATCCAAACATGACTGGTACTGTAGAGAGAACCTGCAAACTCACTCCTGCGACACACCATAACTTTTAGTGTAAGTGATATTCCTTGATAACCAACCCGTCCTGTCCATATCTCGAATTCTCTCCTCCACACACCAGCAGTTCTTTTCAACTGCCCTGAAAAACTTGCCGTCCAACATCATGTTAGCCTTGTCTTCCCCCTCTTGGTGTATCAACTGCACCCAGTCCCCGCCATACCCAGAGTACTAAGGCACGGAGACATACGCGAAGTAGCTATCAACTACAATAGGAGGCTTACTTCCTTCATATCGGGGAGGATCCTTGGTAAGATGTGGCAGTGAAAGTCGATCTTGAGCCGGGATTTCGCCATATCTGTGGCGACTAACTGGCCGGTGAGTCCCGCCACGTAAACAAAGAGGCTAGACAACGGTGGGGTGGTGTATAGAATTTACCCTCGGCGCGCATGCGCATACGTAGTTGGGTGGGTATGGTCTAGTCTCTCGCTGCGGAAAATGCGCATGCGGTTATATGACACAAGCTTACCTCGACCGGACCCGCTTGCTCTGTGTATCTTGAAGGCACAAGAAGTCATAACGAGAATCGACTCCCGCATGCTATCTACTACTGTGTCAGACTCTCCGAGCGGGAGACCACCCCATCAATAATAATTAACGCTTAGCTGACAGAGACCTAGCTCACCTTGCGGTATAGCATTGCTATATATTATTTATACTTACTCATGTGGAGGACGAGTCAGGTTCCGTGTTCGGTATGGAACACGGACGCAAGCCGCAGCGCGCATGCGCTAGTCGGCGGAGACCTAGCGCATGCGCTTGTGCGCCCGCGGCCGTAGCAGTGCGCATGCGCCGAGCCGAGTCACCGGACTCGGAGTGACGCGCACGACGCGGACGCACACCTAGTGCTTGGACCGAAGATTTCGCCATTAGCGGAAACCCTCGGACACAAAAAGGCCTGACTCTTATCACATCCCTATAGAAATATGCCAGAGATGGAAAGACAAAAAGAACTAGCGAAGTCCTGTGCTGGGGACGGGAGGGAGGGTGCAGAAAAAGGCTGTGATGCTCAGAGCGTTGCTAAGAGGACTGAATTCTGCCTTGCCGTTGCGACGCTTTGTATTTTTGCCGCGCGAATGAAGGGGCGCGCGCGGGAGATCCGCGCATGCGCGTAGCGCCTGGACCTGACCGGCCCTCTCACGAATTGACCACGCCCGCTATTACGTCAGCCGCGTTAACCTAGGCTAACTAACTGCGTTAACCTTCATTTATTTAGCGGTACCGCGCATGCGCAGTTCGTCGAGGGTTTGCACTGCTTTTCATATAATATTGCGGGCGGACGACTCATTTCAACAACGGTGCACACAAAAGGTATTTTTCAGCAGATATTCACATGAAGTAAGGTGTGGTTACTTTCTGGGGTATGACACGTTCGCTGTCTGGTACAGCAGTGAAAAGTTTGGCATCTCTTTGTCCTCCAGTCTCCAGCGCTAGGATTGATGCCACGTTTCCACAGCGATAGCAGTAGTTAGGGGCAGACCATACTGTCACCAGACGGTTGTCAAACATATACTTGATGCCCTCATGGACCAGTTGGTGTGCTCGGCAAATCAAGGTAAGGTTGTTCAAATGCATAAACTGCAAGTACACGTAAGAAATTGTATCAGACCTGTTCTAAACCTAAGTATATACCTCACCTCCTGAGCAACAGAGGCACCAAACAGGTAGCCAGCTCCCCTGGGGCTGATGGCCCAGCCTGAGATCTCCTCGGGATCTGACCAAACCAGGTCTGAGAGGAGAGAAGGAAGGGATAAAGTGACTGAAGAAGGCGGTGTGAAGACAGCACGCACCACAAAATGCTCCTTCGTGAGGGATCTCCACTCCTCTGTCAATGGTCCGTATCTACATGGCGACTAGCACGAGTCTTAGAGCTGCGTAGTACAAACTTACCTGGTCAAGGGTCTTTATGTCGGGTGAGAGTCCTCCATGAACGCAGAGTATCTCCTCATCAATTATCTGTAGATTTCACAAGGTAGGTTTTGGGGTTAGGGCAGAACCAGTGGGATCCTCACCGCAGCAATGGTTAGGAGGTCAAACACTCGACAACAGTACTGCCAGGCATTGGCATTCCCATACTTGTTCTGGCACTCATCTGTATAATTATAGTAGGGACCGCGTGTGTGTTGTGGGGGGGGGGGGCACTAGGGCTCACCATAGAAACCATAGACCTGAGTGATTTGTCTGCTCTCGTGGTTTCCTCGCAAGAGAACCACTTTATCAGGGTACATGGCCTTCAGAGTAAGGAGCTGAGTGAAGGTCTCCAGACTGTAATAGCCTCGGTCCACAAAGTCCCCCTGGAAGACACACCCCCTGTCACATCTCTCTCTGGCTTTGTAACATTATATACCATAAACACGTAGGATGTGCTTGGGACTTCTCCTCCGGTTTGAAACAGCTTTTGCAGGTCGTAGAACTGTGAGGTGGGTCTGATATAAAGAGTGTCGCTGGCTGAAGCAGGAGGTACCAGATACCTGGCCATGTATGTCTCCACAGACAGTGATGGGAGTTGACACGGGCTGTACGTTGCTCTCCTCCAGCAAGAGCTCACACACGTAGTCACACAGTTTCTGCGATACAACAGCCAACATCGTCAAAACATGACACCCTAATAAAAGCTCCCCCAACCTTCAGGTCATTTTCTGGCAGGTACTCGCACTCCTTGGCTACTTCTGTCCAGCGATCTAGCTCCGCTGATGACGGGACTAGACTGGACATGTCCACAACACGCACTACCAACACCAGTGTCCGGACGGCAGACAAACACCACGCCCAATTGCGGGACAAAAACCGCGCCCCCTGGTTCCAGATAATGAGACTCCTACATACCGTAACAGAGCATACCAGGGGTTTGTTGTACGCGGCCGTATGACCTAAACCTTTCTTAGCTCCCAAACATCCAAAATAAAATCTTTAACAAGGCCAAGCAAAGAACCAAATTTCTCCTCCCACAGTTCACTACCCAATATAAAGGATGCTTGGAAATGCTCAAACCCATCATCCCCAAGCTTCCCCTGCAGGGCAACTGAGAAATTGCTCCTAAGACTACTATATGCTGGACACTCCCACAACACATGACTCACACTTTCACACTCATACTGGGTAGGCATAGAGTGCCTGTTGTGTGATGATGAGTGTGGGAGTGTAATAGAAACATTGTG